TCTCCGAAGGAAATAAAATCATTATAACACTAAAGGGCTCAGTGCCATGTTACATTAAATTCAAAGTGTTCAATGTCATCAGCGTTAAGAGTAATGATAATGCAACTTTTTTTGATAAGCAAATTTTATTTAATGATAAGCAATTTTTATGGGGTTTCTTTTAATGCATAGAGGGTGCATTAAAAGACTAGGGGAGGAAGGGTAATTTAACCCTTCCCTCCCTAGTCACAGCCCATGAAAATCACCCACCCTGCACAGCAATTACACTTAGGCAAAAGCCTCCATTTATGCCAAACTTTCAACTTTAGAAATTCACATTTTCCATATCTCTCTCCTTTTTTTATAGCAGTCTCATGGAGAACAGGCAATTAAAAAAAAAATCATTTACCAAATACAAAACCTAAGGACTGTAATGCCTAGTTGATCAGCATGATTTTTCCTCCTCCGTACTATGGAGTTGCAAAGCCTATTCTGTTTTAACAAATCTGGTCTTCTTCTTTTTTCTAAATGGGAACAGAAAATCTAGCGCACATTCTCAGTTTTTTTCCAACCCAACATACTCTGCATAAAAATTCCAGACTTGATTGTGTTATGCAAAAAAAATTCCTCATTATATTCCTTGTTTTTAAAAACCTGCTCCTTTCCCCCCAAGGAGGAGAGAGTAATTGAGGAGAAGAAAGCAGAGTCCAAAAAATGCAAACAATTTCAGGAAAGAGTCGCTGTCCAATCAGAGGCCTTGTTTTCCCTCATCTTGGCTTGAAACTGTGTCAGGGGAAGGAGGCGAGGGGAGAGGTCCCTGGGCAGTGCGGCTTTTAATTCTCACCGGGGTGAATTTTAATTAAGAAGCTCAATTGATGTGCAAAGCAAAAGACAAGCTGTTAGGCTTAACGAAGAACACTCCCTAGGCGCCTCAATAAACCACATCCATGTGCTACTGTCGAAGCCACAATAGAGAAGACAAACACTTGCAGAAGACAGAAGTTTTGGCAAGTCAGAGAAAGATTCTGGGCAGGGGAATCACACAAAAAATGGCCGCTCCCTTTAACTATCAAGATGTGCCTATACACAGTTAATTATTATTTCTTTACCTATATGCCGCTTAGATGCCAAAGTGGCTTTACACATATACGCGCAAACATGTGCTTTTTTCCCATTAAAAAACAAAAAGTTGAGGGGGTACTCTCATTTTCCTACTCATATTGAAATACTGCCTCTCACTGAGGCCAAACTTAGATTCACAAAATGTTTAGGGGTATGCGCACAAAGACACACATTCTCTCTGTGTGTTCCTGCACATACACCATACATTTAAAAAGCACGGCCACCAAAGAATTCTGGAACGGTAGAATTTGTTAAGGGTGCTGGGAATTGTAGTTTGGTGAGGCTTGAACTACAATTCTCAGAATTCTTTGGGACAGGGCAATGTGCTTTAAATGTATGGTGTATGTGCAGGAACACACAGAGAGAATGTGTGTCTTTGTGCGCATACCCCTAAACATTTTGTGAATCTAAGTTTGGCCTCAGTGAGAGGCAGTATTTCAATATGAGTAGGAAAATGAGAGTACCCCCTCAACTTTTTGTTTTTTAATGGGAAAAAAGCACATGTTTGCGCGTATATGTGTAAAGCCACTTTGGCATCTAAGCGGCATATAGGTAAAGAAATAATAATTAACTGTGTATAGGCACATCTTGATAGTTAAAGGGAGCGGCCATTTTTTGTGTGATTCCCCTGCCCAGAATCTTTCTCTGACTTGCCAAAACTTCTGTCTTCTGCAAGTGTTTGTCTTCTCTATTGTGGCTTCGACAGTAGCACATGGATGTGGTTTATTGAGGCGCCTAGGGAGTGTTCTTCGTTAAGCCTAACAGCTTGTCTTTTGCTTTGCACATCAATTGAGCTTCTTAATTAAAATTCACCCCGGTGAGAATTAAAAGCCGCACTGCCCAGGGACCTCTCCCCCTCGCCTCCTTCCCCTGACACAGTTTCAAGCCAAGATGAGGGAAAACAAGGCCTCTGATTGGACAGCGACTCTTTCCTGAAATTGTTTGCATTTTTTGGACTCTGCTTTCTTCTCCTCAATTACTCTCTCCTCCTTGGGGGAAAGGAGCAGGTTTTTAAAAACAAGGAATATAATGAGGAATTTTTTTTGCATAACACAATCAAGTCTGGAATTTTTATGCAGAGTATGTTGGGTTGGAAAAAAAACTGAGAATGTGCGCTAGATTTTCTGTCCCATTTAGAAAAAAGAAGAAGACCAGATTTGTTAAAACAGGAATAGGCTTTGCAACTCCATAGTACGGAGGAGGAAAAATCATGCTGATCAACTAGGCATTTACAGTCCTTAGGTTTTGTATTTTGGTAAATGATTTTTTTTTTAATTGGCCTGTTCTCCATGAGACTAGCTATAAAAAAAGGAGAGAGATATGGAAAATGTGAATTTCTAAAGTTGAAAGTTTGGCATAAATGGAGGCTTTTTTGCCTAAGTGTAATTGCTGTGCAGGTGGGTGATTTTCATGGGGCTGTGACTAGGGAGGGAAGGGTTAAATTACCCTTCCTCCCCTAAGTCTTTTAATGCACCCTCTATGCATTAAAAGGAAAACCCATAAAATTGCTTATCATTAAAATAAAATATTGCTTATCAAAAAAGTTGCATTATCATTACTCTTAACGCTGATGACATTGAACACTTGAATTTAATGTAACATGGCACTGAGCCCTTTAGTGTTATAATGATTTTATTTCCTTCGGAGATGGTTTTATTATAATATATATACCGTAATTTTGCGGCACAGACTTGAATTTCACAGGGTTGCATCAAATGGACACATTTTGACCGTGGAGCTTTGTATATGGCATGCAAAATGTCCTCCAAACTCCCCCACGCTCATCTCCTCGGCTGTTGTTCGCCAGCTGATTGGCAGCTGTTTCAACATATCATTCCTTCTAGTCGTTGCCTAAACTGGGGGCTCCTTTTTCCTGGTGATGTGATTGAGACTTAGCCACCGTGAGGATATCACAGGACTATCATTTAGCCAATCAGATCTGGGCAGCGCTATCCCGTAGCCAACCAGATCTGGCCATGTGCTGACATCACAAAGCCAATTCAGGGCAACCTTTCCTGCCCCTACGCTCTGAGCGAAACCCTTTTAACCACACCGGAATTGCCAGGCAAGGGGGAGGTGCCTACAGGTTGCCAAAGCTTCCTGGAAAATTGCCTTTTGTGGGGACTCTGCTCGGTTTCAGCCAAGAGCTGAAGGTGCTAGTGTAGTCTGGATCCTGGTCCTACTCTGGGGCTGCCAGCCCCCAAAATGCTCCATTCTGGAGGCTCTGATGGCTACCAATGGTTCCTAGCGGTAGCTTCTGCCCAACCACAATTGGGTAGGCAAACTGAGGTTCTCCTTGCTGGCAAGGCTCCCCCACAGTCAGTAGAAGACTCCCACCATCAGAGCCAGGCAGGGATGGGCAGAGAGAGACTTTTACCACATCCAATCCCCCTCCAGCATTTCAGGCACTGCCGGGATTTACATATAAGCTAAACAAGCTATAGCTTAGGGCCCCACTCTCTTGGGGGGACCCCAAAAAAATTAGAGGGGGAAAAAGGCTGGATGTACATTTCCAAAATATAAGATAAAAAACAAATAAAATAAAACCTGCATACAGCAACAGTGTTTTTGTGTTGTGTAGGCTCCTATGATGTAAGTGATGGGCCCTGCCTGCTAGCCTGCTCCCTAAAATATCACTGGTTTGCTCATTTCTATATATAGGGTGCCTACATAAAATAGGTATTTTATGATAAAATACATACTTTGTTATGTACAAATGGCTTTAGATACCTATTAGGTCCATAAATTACCATATAGCATATATTCAACACCAAAAAACAAAAAACAGTGACAATTTGTTGTTGACAAAAGACAGCTGGACATATAAAGGGCCCCATTACCTTCAGTAGCTTAGGGACTCATCAAACCTAAATCCAGCCTGATTTCAGGTCGGGGTTAGATTGCTCTGTTCGTTCATTCAACCCTTTCTACCACAATTTCTCTTCCTATCTGTTTAAGAGGTTTAATCTCATGCTCAGTTCAGGAACACCTTTATTGCCACATTGCGAGGAGATATATTTTGCCGTAAAATGTTAATGGTGTTTCCTTCTGTCACCTCCTCTCTTCTCCCAGCTGTCCATTAGACTTGTGTTTTGGCAGGGCTTAAATCCTTGCACAGTGTTTAAATGTTCCGAGTCCCTTAAGCAGATTTGGGCACCTTTTTTAAGAAGCACATTGAAGGTCCATATATCAATCACATCGACACTGCAGAGTGGGTTAATGGTTGAGGGTCTCTCAAGGGGTCTTGGGAGATGTAGTTCTGTAGGAGCGCAGAAATCTCACTCAACGTTGATGCCATATTTCTCTGAAGTAAATAGGGACGCCCTAAGGAAAAGTGGGACATTCCGGGATCCAATCAGAAACCAGGACGGCTTCTGTAAATCTGGGACTGCCCCTGGAAAATAGGGACACTTGGAGTAGGGTTGCCTTACATCAGGAATTTCCCAGACATAGTGGGAATTTGGCCACCGATAACAGTATCTGTTACTGTTACGGGTGGCGCTGTGGGTAAAAGCCTCAGTGCCTAGGGCTTGCCGATCGAAAGGTTGGCGGTTCGAATCCCCGCGGCGGGGTGCGCTCCCGTTGCTCGGTCCCAGCGCCTGCCAACCTAGCAGTTCGAAAGCACCTCCGGGTGCAAATAGATAAATAGGGACCGCTTACCAGCGGGAAGGTAAACGGCGTTCCGTGTGCGGCTCTGGCTCGCCAGATGCAGCTTTGTCACGCTGGCCACGTGACCCGGAAGTGTCTCTGGACAGCGCTGGCCCCTGGCCTCTTGAGTGAGATGGCCGCACAACCCCAGAGTCTGTCAAGACTGGCCCGTACGGGCAGGGGTACCTTTACCTTTACCTTTAACAGTATCTGGGAGGGAATCACTGGAATGTCCGGGGAAATCCGGACGTATGGCAACCAACATCGGAAAAGTACGTAGTTTTTGGTTCAAAATAGCTCAAAAACGTTTTTTTTAAAAAACTTTTGTTTCCGGATTTTCACTTTTTGAAATTTGCCAACCCTAACTTGGAGGTTCTGTGATAACATGCAAGCCCTGATTATTTCCTCTACAATATTGTTGTTCACCACATGGGAATCCAGTAGTACACAGACGACTGGGCTGCTTTCCCCTGAATCACAAAGATCACTGGGAAGAAGCACTGTGGCACTGTGAAAATCATACAGTTTTTTCAAGATTCTCCATAGCTGCTAGAAGTGATGACATAGCAGGGCTTTAAATGTATAGTGAGGAGGCAGCCATGCTCTGTATGCCTGTCTGGCTTTGTATGTTTGTGTTACCAGAATCTCAGCCCTGTTCAGATATCCTTGCCCATTGCTTGATGCACTACCAAGTGATGACTTGCGTGTTTGAAGGAGCCTTCAAAGGACAGATGACAGCTACACTTTCCAAGGGAGGTAGTCAGTAAGGGATGTGCAAGAATAGCCGGTCCCTGACAGATGGTCATTTTGGCGTCTTAAAAAATCTTTGTAGCTATTTTCCTACCCCTTTAGCCAGTGCCAGATTTATATACAAGCTAAACAAGCTATAGCTTAGGGCCCCACTCTCTTGGGGGGCCCCAAAAAATTTAGAGGAAAAAAAAAAGCTTGGATGTACATTTCCAAAATATAAGATAAAAAACAAATCAAATAAAACCTACATACAGCAACAGTGTTTTGTATTTTGTAGGCTCCTATGATGTAAGTCATGGGCCCTGCCTGCTAGCCTGCTCCCTAAAATATCACTGGTTTGCTCCTTTCTATATATAGAGTGCCTATATTCTGCATAAGAGACACGGGTGGCGCTGTGGGTTAAACCACAGAGCCTAGGACTTGCCGATCAGAAGGTCGGTGGTTCGAATCCCCACGACAGGGTGAGCTCCAGTTGTTCGGTCCCTGCTCCTGCCAACCTAGCAGTTTGAAAGCACGTCAAAGTGCAAGTAGATAAATAGGTACCACTCCGGCGGGAAGGTAAACGGCATTTCCGTGCGCTGCTCTGCTTCGCCAGAAGCAGCTTAGTCATGCTGGCCACATGACCCAGAAGCTGTATGCCGGCTCCCTCGGCCAATAAAGTGAGATGAGTCTGCGACTGTACCTAATGGTCAGGGGTCCCTTTACCTTTACATTCTGCATGGACTGGTTGCCTGGCAACATGTGCAAATGGCTTTAGATATTAGGTCCATTAATTACCATACAGCATATGTTCAACACAAAAAACAGCGACAATTTGTTGTTGACAAAAGACAGCTGGACATATAAAGGGCCCCATTACCTTCAGCAGCCTATGGCCTCATCAAACCTAAATCCGGCCCTGCCCTTAGCCCATACTAAACACATACCCTTCAACATTTCTCTGATGAAAATAGGGACATCCCATTCCATAATGATAATCTTGCTCTTTATACTGGCAGCTTCCAACATATATAAAAATATAATAAAACATTAACAAAAAAAACTCTTCCCTGTACAGGATTGCCTTCAGACAGCTTGGGAGTCAGATAACTCCATACCCTCCAACATTTCTCCAATGGAAAATACAGACATCCTACCATACCCTCCAACATTTCTCCAATTAAAATAGGGACATCCTTCAGAAAAGTGGGACATCAGAAATCAGGATGTCTTCTTGAAATCTGAAGCATCCCTGGAAAATAGGGACACTTGGAGGGTCTGTAAACGTTTGCATGGTGTAAATCCTGCCTTAGTGGAGGAGTGGGGGCCAAGTGCTAGGGTGTGGCTAAATCTGGCAGATGGGCAGGGCCGTCTGCCTGTCAATCACGTGACAACACAACCGGGGATCTGGATTCATAATGCTCTGCTGGGATCTGGGATCTGGGCTAGTGGTTGAGGCTCAACTCTGAGCCAGGACTTACCCTACAGATTTGTGAATTAATATCTCAGCCCCTAGGAGCTAGTACTAGAGGGTTCCTGAGTGTACACAGAGAGCCACATGCAGTCACCACAACCTGCCCTCCCACCATAAAAAATCAGTTTTTTGTGTTACCTCTTCATTTAGGAATTAGGAACTGAACTGTGACTAATTGGAACAGTGGGCATTTTCAGATTTATTTTTGCACCTGCGGGTTGACATGTGAACACAGTGCTTTTGAGCATGTGCAGAGTGCTTTCTTCATCTAACTGCAGTGGTGTAGCAGTTTAGACTCCAGACTCCATGTTATTATTGAGGGTTAGATACAGAGATTCCAAAGGACCTTATAAAATTGTTTATGTATGCTACAACCGCAGCTAGAACAGTATTTGCCCATAGGTGGAAAGAAGACATTATTCCAACCAAGGAAGAGTGGCCGATCAAATTAATGGACTATGCCGAAATGGCAAAATTAACAGGTGTAATAAGAAACCAAGAGGGGGAAAGAATTACTAAAGAGTGGGGGAAATTTGTGGAATATTTGAAAAGTTATGGCATCAGCAGGGTTAACCTAAAACCAGCAGTTTAATAAAAAAATGATTAAGAGAAAGAAAAGAATAACTTTAAAAGGGAGTTATGTGGAAAATGCAGTATAAAAAAACTAAAACTAAAGAAAAAACCACAAAAGGAGGGGAGGAAAGGCAAATTCATAGCTGTTCTGGATTATTTGTGAGTTATGTGTCTGGTATTTGTATGTTTGTAAACTTTTGAAAAACCAAAAAACCCACCAAAAACAAAACAAACAAACAATGCTATTATGGGGTGGGGGGGGGCAGAGACTCTCTTTAGGAGTTAGTGGGGTATACCTTTGTTCACTTCAAAACTGGCTCTCTTGGTCATTCTGCTGACTGGGGGGACTCTGGATGTCTGCCCCCAAATCCTGCTTGACGGCATCATCAAGGTCTTTGAGGACATCAGGGGCTCTGAGGTAGATTAAGATTCCTGTACCACCCTCTTGGAAATCGATTCCAGCTCCTGTGCTGATGCATTCACCAGATTTCAAGCACCCAGATAAAATAAATAAAATTAAAAATGCACAAAACGGCTGATTTGAAAATTCAGTTTGTGTGAATAGCAGTGTTTTCAGCATCAAACACTAATGAGCAAAAATACCAACAACAATGGATGGACTAGCTACCACAAAGCGCCCGTTTTCCAAATACACCCTTCATCATTGTATACACATCTTGCAATCTTATGATTGTACAATCCTCACTGGGAAGGAGGAAAAAAAAACTTTCCTGGTGCCATTTCAAGCAAGGGTTGAAGAAGATGATACAAACACAGATTTCTTTTTTTAAAAAATGTATTCTTTATTGAAAAATTTAAAAAGTACAAAATTACAAGTGCACAGAGTAAGATAAGGCCCGAAAAAGAAGAAGAAATAAGAAATAGTACCCATGCAGAAACAAAGCAGAAAAAGATGTTGTGTACATTAAAAAAAAGGGGGTGGAGGCTTGTTATGGTAGTTAACCAGACCTTAATCTAATACGGTATTTATGAACTCGAAAAATAAAAATGTATCTCCCTTTAATGATTGGATGGAGACTAAGGATAAGCTTGCTACAAATGAACAAGTTGTGCACAAACATAGACTTGCCATGGACAAATGTAACGATATTTGGAATTCGTTTTTATAAAGATGTAACCACAGATTTAACAGGATCCCACCACACACCCCATCCTGGTGGTTGCATGCATTTATCCAAATCCTGGATAAATCCTTGTCTGGTTATATGTTAACAGTCGCTGGAATTGGGTCCAGTTACTTACTTCCTTTTCCCTTTTCCCTTTCTATTTGCTTTCGAAGACCTTGAGAAATCGACCATCATTGAGAACGGCGAAATCCGTATCAACGGCAAAGGCAAGAAGATCCGCAAGCCACGCACGATCTACTCGAGTCTCCAGCTCCAGGCCCTCAACCAGCGCTTCCAGCAAACCCAGTACCTGGCGTTACCCGAGCGAGCAGAACTAGCAGCGCAGCTGGGCTTGACCCAAACCCAGGTGAGATGTTGCAAATGTCCTTTGGTTCACTTATCTGTAACATAACTTCCCCCACCCCCAGGTTTCTAGGAGTTTTAGGTGTGATCTACATGTAGGGTAAGGGACGTGGGTGGCGCTGTGGGATAAACCACAGAGCCTAGGACTTGCTGATCAGAAAGTCGGCGGTTCGAATCCCCACGACGGGGTGAGTTCCCGTTGCTCGGTCCCTGCTCCTGCCAACCTAGCAGTTCGAAAGCACGTCAAAGTGCAAGTAGATAAATAGGTACTCTGGATTGCGGTGCTCATCTGGCTTTATTGGCTGAGGGAGCTGGCGTACAGCTTCCGGGTCATGTGGCCAGCATGACTAAGCCACTTCTGGTGAACCAGAGCAGCGCACGGAAATGCCGTTTACCTTCCCGCCAGAGTGGTACCTATTTATCTACTTGCACTTTGACGTGCTAGTAGAAAATGCAATAATTTTTCTGATAATTGAAATTGGATTGAAATGTTATCGTCGTTTCCCATTCCCTCCATTTCTGAGCTTATGGCTGTGTGTGTCACTCCTTTCGTAGCCACAACTGCGCAGCCTACGGTCGAGAAAGAGTTGGCAGCAGGCTTGAGAGGTTTGCGGAAGTACAAGAAATGCATTTAGGGGAGGGTGCATTGCGTAGTGTGGGACCCAATAGCAGCCGAGCGCGCACTGAGCACGCTCAGTGGCTGTGGAATGCTGACTGACGGTTTCAGGGAGGTGGTGGAAAGCGAGGGAGCGAGGGAAGGGAAGGGAAGGGAAGGGAGAGGCTGGAATCCTGGGCAGCAACACTGTGCGCCAGTGGTGACATTTTATTGCGCAGGTGTGAGTGACTGTGGCAGGTGTCGAGCAGAGTGAGGTGTTCTCTGCCCGGAAGGTGTTGCGCTCTTCCTTAGGCAAGACACTAATGGAGAAAGCTCAGGAACAAACAGGAGGATTGTGGGAATGGGGTTGAGTGGAAATGAAGTACGAGGTTTCCCCCTGTGGCTGGAAATGCTACACCTGTTGAATTTCTGGCTGCGCCCCCAGTATTTAAGAAGCACGGGATCCCTGCCAGGATGACAACAACCATGTATATTCAACTGGTAAAGCTTATGAACTCCCCTTTTGGTGCGCCAAATCCAAAGGCACAGTCCGGTGATGTCTGTTTCCACGTGACTCGGGCTGGAGTCTCGCCCCCTGGGTTTTGGGGATTTTAGGGGAATTGGCACCGTCAAAAGCTTGTTCCACTCACCCAGAAGCCCTTCCTCACAGGTGGTTGAGCAGCTTAAGGAGATCGCTCGAGACAGACAGATGTCAGGGGTGAGCCCAGAGCCAGAGGCATAAAAAAGATTTATTTTTATTTAGGCAGAGAAGGAGAGAGTCAAGTAAGAACCTGCCAAATCTGCATGCTGAGAACTTGTGGGGTGGGTGAGGGCAGGGAATTGTGTTGTAGGGCTGTGAAGCATTATAAAACGGGGTGCTTCCTCTGTACGATATCAGAATTAGCAGGTAAACCAAACATGAATAGAAAAAAAAGGCAGCAGTTTGTTTTGGTCTCTTTCTGAGGAGCTATGGGCTGGAGCACATGGAATATTCCAAACTGAATAGCTCCCCCAATTGGTTGCTTGGCAGATAAAGGTGCTATATGTGTATTTCACAGAATCATAAGAGCTGGAAGGGACTGTAAGGGTCATTTAGTCCAATCCCCTGCAATGCAGGAATCTTTTCGCCCCACATGGGGCTCAAACCCATGATTCTGAGGTTAAGAGGACTCGTATTATGTCATAAACAGCGCTTTAAAACGTACAAAAGTTAACATGCTAAAACAGATTAAAATTAGAATAGATTAGCCCATGGAATTTTTGGCTTTCGGGCAGGGGAGGAGTTGGTATTCTGCAACAAATTCTGGTTCCGCAGTGGAATGGAAGAGTAACAGCAAAAGTCAGGACTCTTGCCTCAGTGTGAGGCACTTGTGGAAACAAGGATCTTGGATAGTTCTGCTCCTCTGGGTGTGCAAAAAGTTCCTCTATACTTTGGACACCACAAGCACCCTCAGCTTGCACACTTAGACACTGTGTAGCGTGAAGTTCAGCCAAATAAGTAACCTAGGATATTGTCTGTATCGGCTTGTATCTGAGTAGGCTTCAAAAACACATTTTGTTCTGTTCAGTGTTTTATTTTTGTGTTGCATGTGCTGGTCGTAAAGTGTGGCTCCCATTATTATTATTATTATTATTATTATTATTAATTACCTGTGTTTTACCCACTTTTTAAAAGCGTTTTAAATGATCAGTTGAGTTTTGGGGTATAAACTTATTATACAAATAAATTGTCTTCCCTGGTGCACCAAATATGAGCCTATACTCTTCTCTTAAACTTCATCAGAACCAAAGAGGTTTAGTTTTAGGCCTTGAACAAGTCTGTGGGGTTCAGCAGCTGTGATGCATTTATGCTACAGTTTTCATACACACCATGTATTTAAAGTATATGACTTTCTGTAAACTACGGTTTCCAATATTTTTCACAGCGATGGGGCAAATTTAGCCCCTCCCTCCCTTTAATAGAGAGAGAGAGAGAAAGAGAAAGAGAAAGAGAGAGAGAACTTAGAATGAATATAATGTTGTTTTTAAAAATTGAGCCTTGTCACCTAAATCCACTTGCTCATGGGAAGTCCATGGTGGACAATATATATATATTTTCTTTTAAAAGAGAGCTCGAGGTGGTTTCAGGGAGTCTTCACTTCTTGTGGGGTGCACATTTATTTTCTCCCAACCTCCCTTCTGGACAAACAGGTTTGGCAGGTTTTGGAGACAAAGCAACAACCTGCAGGACCTGTTTTTCCGGGGATGAAAGTGGGATGAGTTCTTCACACCATGAGCAAGGATCCCTCTTCTGAGCCACCCTTTCTCGGGAGAAAATAATCTGTCCCAGGCTCTCTCTGTGTGTATGTTCAATAATAAAGGCTGATTGTGCAGCTGGAGCAAACAAAGCTTCCTTACACCAGCATTGTTTACCTTTGTTGGCAGAAGCTCTCCAGAGTCTCAAGCAAAAAGGGGGTTTTCACATCCACTGCTACCTGAGATTCTTTGATCTGGAGATCCCTGAGATCTAGGTTGCATCCATACCATATCTTATACCACATTGGCTTCTCCCAAAGAATCCTAAAGGTAAAGGGACCCCTGACCATTAGGTCCAGTCGTGGCCGACTCTGGGGTTGCGGCGCTCATCTCGCTTTATTGGCCAAGGGAGCCGGCGTACAGCTTCTGGGTCATGTGGCCAGCATGACTAAGCCACTTCTGGCGAACCAGAGCAGTGCATGGAAACGCCGTTTACCTTCCTGCCAGAGTGGTACCTATTTATCTACTTGCACTTTGACATGCTTTCGAACTGCTAGGTTGGCAGGAGCAGGGACCGAACAACGGGAGCTCACCCCATCGCAGGGATTCGAACCGCCAACCTTCTGATCGGCAAGTCCTAGGCTCTGTGGTTTAAGCCACAGCGCCACCCGCGTCCCCAAGGAATCTTGGGAGGCCATAATTTGCAAAGGTTGCAGAGAGTAGTTAAGAGACTTGTCACAGACAGCGGCGTAGCTAGCCACTCAGGTGCCTGGGGTCTCCTGGGGTCTCAGGAGAGTCGCATGGCTCAGGCACGCTGCAGGCCCCGCGGTGTGACGCCCAGTGCCCCCCTCCTCACCTAGCTATGCCTCTGGATTATGGAGGAAAGGGCTGTTGAAGGATACTAGCCATAAAGGCTGTGCTCTGTCTGCAAAATTGGAAGCATAATGCTTCTGGTTACTGGAAATCGCTCGAGAGGAGAGTTTAGGAAGGAGTGTGTGGTGGGTGCGGGGGTTATTTTTTTCAAAAACACATATTTTCCCCCATTTTGTCACCCCCCTCAGTGATGACACCCGGGGCGGCCCGCACCCACTGCACATCCCTTCCTATGCCACTGGCCACAGAGCTACAGTTCCCAGAACTCTTAGCAAACTATAGTTCCCAGGATTCTTTGGGGGAAGCCATGACTGCTGAAGCGGTATAAGAGTACTTTATATGTAAGATGTGAGCGTGACCTGGATTTCAGACCTCCTGCATGCAACATGCCTGCTCAACCATTGAGCTATGACCCATTAGCTTCAAGCTGGCCTTTAGCCCCGGCACCTATTTTAAAAGCTCACCAAATGGAGGTGTACAACAACTCTACATATTTTCTACCACCTCGTGGCCCCAGCTGGGGCAAAAGGGAGGTGTACGTTGCTGGCAGGGTATTATCACTGCATTTTAAATTGTTGTAAGCTGCCCTGGGACCTTGGCATTGAGGGCAGGTAATAAATTAAAAATACATATTATTAATAATAGTGGAATCACAGTTCCAATCCTTCTGGCTACTTTTCACTTATGAGGAACCGGTTACTAGGAAGATTAGCCTCCAGTGAATCTTCTTTTGCATGCAAAAAAATTTTCTCCAAAGTTACAGGTGCTTGACACTAGATCCTCCCCCCCCAATTGTTTCTCTCCTTCTGTATTTTAAACTATTACCCAGTACTATATGACACTCCATCTGCTCCCCCTGCTACACTGCACTCCTAAGTTTTCAACATGATGAGACGGGGATAATGTAGCACATCAGAAGGGAAGACTCTGGAGGGATAAATCACATATTTTTCTACTGCTTCTCCCTCCAGTAGTTTTCCACCTCCTCGAAATGCCCTGAAGACCAATGTTTACACTTTGCCCTCTCTGATCTTTCCACAAATGCCATTGTGCAACCAGCTTTTTTGGGGGGTGGGGGTGGAGAAGAAGGAAGAAAAGGTGGGGGAGGAGAACTTCTTGAAAAAGTTAGCTGGGGTCAGGCAGCAACAGAGCGTATTACAAAGGCAGGTAGGGGCAGGTAGCTGCTGGAGGTTGCCAAAATATGCAGCATGCTTCACAAGCCCTGATCTTTAATCCTTGCAATAGCCCTAGGAGATAGGGCACGATTATTCCCATTTTACAGACTAGGAAATTAAGGCAGATGGAAAGAGGATTATGGCATTGGAAGGCACCAAGAGTCAAGGCAACCCCAGCCCCTTGCCTTGAGGCAGGATTATCCATTCACTGGCTCATCACAGGTTGACTTAAAGTGTTTGGAAATTTCTGGCCTCAGAGGCCATGCCACATGATCCAATAGGTACCAGGCTGCAATGAATTCTAGAATATCCTTCTCTAGATGCAGTTCCTTTATTGGCATAGTCCCCGCCACACATTACTGTACTGCTGCTTTGAGTGACCATGCATACCCTCCAATTCTCCGATGAAAATAGGTATGTCCTATTCCATAATAATAATAATCTTATTATTTATACCCTGCCCATCTGGCTGGGTTGCCCCAGCCACTCTGGGCAGCTTCCAACATATAGGTAAAGGTAAAGGTAAAGGGACCCTTGACCATTAGGTCCAGTCTTAGGTCCAGAGTCGTTCGTGACTGGACTTAACTGTCAGGGTTCCCTTTACCTTCAGTTTAAAACAGAATCACTCTTTTGGAGGGTTAAGGGCATGTGTGAGAGAAAGTCCCAGCCCACAAGTAGAAGTGATGGGCTAGTTGAATCCTACCAGCAATACAACCACGATTTTGCCCTTGGTGGAAATATTACCAGGACAGTGCTATTCAAGAATATTATACACAAGTGGTTTGACATAGGCATCCCCACACTGCATAGGAGCGTAGGATCAGATGTCTTAAGCAGAGTCAGGCCACAGGTAGGACCAGTAAAGGGCTTCCTTCCTGCATGAATGTTACTCCAAGTCTGAGTATTTGGCTGAGTCCATATATGGCAACTTCAACACAGACTGGAAAGGGAAAGGAATGTCAAGACAATTCAATACCTGGCAGTAGTTCTGCATCCAAATTTAGAATTTTTCCAATGATTTCACATTTGAGTTTCAACTTGAGTGTTGCTGGAGAACTTTAAGAGAATTGAGGCAAGTGTTGACTTGCATATTCAATATTCGACCGCACTGCAGTTCTTGAACCTAACACTGTTCATAAATTCAAAGTGGGGGAAGACCTTTAAGATGAGAAATATATATATATATTTAGCAAGGGCGTTCAAGAAGGAATAACTTGCTTGATGACTTTCCCCCTTTCTCCTAGCCTTGTTTCGCTTCTCTCAACTGGTTATTGACTGAAATAAATTTAGGCTGCTTCTCTCCATGCTCTGTTTACACCTTTCCCTCTCTGTTATCGCAGGTGAAGATCTGGTTCCAGAACAAGCGTTCCAAGTTCAAAAAGATTATGAAGCAGGGCTCCAGCATTCAAGATGACCACCTCCACAGTTCCTCATCCTTGTCCCCTTGCTCCCCCAACATCCCCCCACTCTGGGACATCCCCATGGCCTGCAAAGGCCCTCCCCTGCCTCCCAGCAGCTACATCAACAGTTTTGGACCTTGGTACCACCAACCGCAGCACCAAGACGCCATGGGGAGGCCTCCAGTGATGTGACAAAAGGGGCACTGGCAGCATCAGCCCATCCTCAATGTGTCTCTTCCTCCAAAGTGCTGATCAGGGTCCCCGGAACAGGCGAAAGGAGGGCGTGGAGTTTGGAGGGAGAAGTTGGCTTCTTTGAAGGAATCACCAGCACTTTTCTCTTGGTGAGAACATCCCTGGCAGGAGATGGACTTCGAACGGACATGTCCAGGGACCAGATCTTAACAACGATGGCAGGTTGTGTGAGGCAAAGTTAGGGAAAGAACCCCCCCCAGCTCCGAAACACGAATGGAAGGTCAGGGTCCCATTTTAATCGGCGTCTCTTCATCAGGGATTTTACAAGAGAGGTGCTTTGTGTGTTTTTCGTTCCAAAGATAGGCTCTTGGGTGACATGGACCTTACGTCAGATCTAGTTGCGTTAGTAAGAGGTCAGGTTTTGCCATTCTTCCCCCCTCTCATCCAGCAAGGCTTCTGTGACTTAAGCAGTATTGATGGAAGACAGGAAATAAACAGGTGGTGGTGTTGCTGGTTTGGAGATTCAGTGACGGGAGGACTTTATCTGTTGTATTTCTGCCTTGTTCTGCAGAGGATCAAGGTACAGAAGCATTGCCATCTTTACATTTCTTTCTTTCTTTCTTTCTTTCTTTCTTTCTTTCTTTCTTTCTTTCTTGGCAATCCTAGTTAGTGTAGCAAGGTTTTGAGCTGCACAGAGATGTACTCCAAGGCAAGGACCTGAGAGAAGGAATGATTAACTGGTCCAACAGGCAAGAAAGCAGCGCTTGGAGAGTTCTTTTTATTTAAGGGACTAGTTCTAGTTCTATATGTCGAAAAAGGAAGTAATTTCAGTTCGGGTTCTTCCCTTTACAAGACAAACTAGTTCAGTTCACAGTTCAATTCAAGTCCGTCCAAATCCTCAACAACAACAACAACAACACACCAAAATAAACCGATTCAGAATGTTACAAGCTGCGATGCTGGAGTATAGAATATACCGTATTTTTTGCTCTATAAGACTCACTTTTCCCCTCCTAAAAAGTAAGGGGAAATGTGTGTGCGTCTTATGGAGCGAATGCAGGCTGCGCAGCTATCCCAGAAGCCAGAACAGCAAGAGAGATTGCTGCTTTCACTGCACAACAATCCCTCTTGCTGTTCTGGCTACTGAGATTCAGAATATTTTTTTTCTTGTTTTCCTCCTCCAAAAACTAGGTGCGTCTTGTGGTCTGGTGCGTCTTATAGAGCGAAAAATACAGTACTTAAGACTCAGAAAATGTCAATGCACACACAGAGAGTGGAATGAGAATGGTTTCATTTATTTCCCCCCAAATATTATGTTCTATAAACTTAAAGGCCCAAAGAGTCTAAAAGATAAAAAAATATAAAAATTAAAATTAAAAAGAGAATGAACTAGAAATCATTCAAAGCTCTACCCCAAAAACAAACTTGATTTTAGTTCACCTGTTAGTTATAGGAATGGCTTTCAGGTTCAGAGATTTTGGAAGCAATTCAGTGAACATTGTAAAATCAAAGCAGTTCACTCCAAGCACTGTAGGAAAGAGAGCCTAAATATTGGCATAATTTCATAATGGGGAGGAGGGGGCAAGGAAACAAGTTAGACCGGATATTCTCATGGGGTTAAAACTGGCAAGAACTTACCTATCAAAATTGGTTCAGTTCACTTTCTACCTGCAAAACAAATTGGTGATAGTTCTAGGTAGCCAATCCCCATAGAGCCGCAATTTGCTAAAAGCAGGGGGGAAATATATATATTTTTTAAAAATATCCAACTGCTTTCTTCAAAGCCAATTTTGCTTCCATGTCTGTCTGTACTAAAATATTTTTTCATTAAAAATTGTGCTAAAGCCAGGATTATGTTTACAGTCAATGAAACGTTTGTGGAATGTAATCTCCATATCCTCTCCCCTCTCCCATTTTTTTTTAAAGAAAAAAGGATCTTTCATATTTGTTTCAGCTACAACATGAAGTCTCTCCCCCCTCCACCTCCAGCAAATAACTGGAGGCTATTTAACTAAACCATTAAAAGAAAAAAACTAATTTAACTTTTCTCTCTCCCCCCCCCCACTTTGCCAAGCATAATGACATTTTTATTTATTGAAATACAGCTTTTGGTATATTGTATTGTTTTCAATTTATAAACAGAATGTAAAACTATAAATAATTTTTTTTTGTACAAACAAACTCTGTCAAGCTCCTCCTTTATGGTTCTTGTAAAGCAGGAATGGCCAAACTTGGCCCTCCAGCTGTTTTGGGACTACAGTTCCCCTCATCCTTGACCACTGGTCCTGTTAGCTAGGGAGGATGGGAGTTGTAGTCCCAAAACAGCTGGAGGGCCAAGTTTGGCCATGCCTGTTGCAACGTTTGAATCTAGAAAATAAATGGAGACGACTGTTATGAGTCTTCAATGCCACCATTCCTGCAGACTCAGTTATTGTATGGAACTGGACCTCCAGAGACACAATGCCATGCTCTGCCTCAGCAGCACCCCACAACTGCATAATGAGGAACCCCATAGGGCAGGCAAAGCCAGTGTAGTGCCTTCTGTATGTTGACGGACTACAATTCCCACCACCCCCTCCAGTATGGCCAATTATCAAGAATGGTGGGAGTTGTAGTTCAGCAACATCTGGAGGGCACGTTGACTACCCCTGCCATAGGGCTTCCCCAGGGCTGGATTTAGGTTTGATGAGGCCCTAAGCTACTGAAGGTAATGGGGCCCTTTATGTGTCCAGCTGTCCTTTGCCAACAACAAATTGGCACTGTTTTGGTGTTGAATATATGCTCTATGGTAATTTATGGACCTCATAGGCAACCAGTCCATGCAGAATGTAGGCACCCTGTACAGTGGTACCTTGGGTTACATACGCTTCAGGTTACATACGCTTCAGGTTACAGACTCCGCTAACCCAGAAATAGTACCTCGGGTTAAGAACTTTGCTTCAGGATGAGAACAGAAATCGTGCTCCGGCGGCGCGGCAGCAACAGGAGGCCCCATTAGCTAAAGTGGTGCTTCAGGTTAAGAACAGTTTCAGATTAAGAACGGACCTCCGGAACGAATTAAGTACTTAACCTGAAGAACCACTGTATATAGAAATGAGCAAACCAGTGATATTTTAGGGAGCAGACTGGCAGGTGGGGCCCATTACTTACATCATAGGAGCCTACACAACACCAAATACTGTTGCTGTATGTAGGTTTTATTTTATTTGTTTTTTATCTTATATTTTGGAAATGTACATCCAGGTTTTTTTTTCCTTTTAGTTTTTTTTAGGACCCCCAAGAGAGTGGGGCCCTAAGCTATAGCTTATACATAAATCCGGCACTGGGCTTCCCATTTATTCAGAGTTTGCATGGTTAGAATAATAGAATTGTAGACTTGGAAGGGACCCCTCGAGTCATCTAGTCCAACCCCTCCAATGTAGGAGTCTCAGCTAAAGCATCCACGACAGATGGCCATCCAGCCTCTGCTTAAAAACCTCCAAGGGAGGAAAGTTCACAACCTCCAGAAGGAGACCGTTCCACCGTCAAGCAGCTCTTGCTGTCAGAAAGTTCACTTGAAGCCATTGGTTTGAGTCCTTCCCTTCGGAAAAAGCAAGTTTGTTCCCTCTGCCTTGAGACAGCCCTTGAGATCTTTGAAGATGGCTGTCATATCTCCTCTCAGTCTCCTCTTTTCCTCACCCGACGCAAAATTCTCCAGATTGGGACCTGTGGATGGAACATAACAGGGGTCCTAACTGTACCGATCTTAGCAAATCCATGCCGTTATAATCTCTCTCAGCTGTCCTCAGCCTGGTGCCCACCAGATGTTTTGAACTAAACTCCCATCAACCCTGACCATTGGCCATGGTGGTTGGGGCTAATGGGAATTGAAGTCCAAAAGATCTGGATGGCACCAGGTTCTGGAAGGCCAATGAGTTTCGATGAGGCATGGGGAACCAGGGACCTTCCAGATGTAGTTGGAGTCCAGGTCCCATAATCCTTGACTGCCAGCCACTGATGGGAATTGGAGTCCTATAGCAGTTAGAGGATCACAACCTTTACTTTAGAATAGGTGGTCGGGTATCTCTGCAAACCTGCATTCTACCCCACCACTGAAGTTTTAGATTTACCAGTGTTCCTAATAGTTCTTTGTTGTTTGAAGGTCTAAGAAGAAACCCATGGTTGGCTTTGTAACACGCACACACAATCACATGGTGTAGTCGTGGCATAGCGTGAGCCATAGGGGCAGTTGCCCTGGGCGCAAAATTCTGTGGGGGGCAAAATTTCAAAAGGGAAAAAAAGAGAAAGTCGTAATCATAGAGTTGGGGGGCCCTGAGAGTCATCTTCTAGTCCAACCCCCTGCAATGCAGGAATATGCAGCTGTCCCATATGGGGATTGAACCTGCAACCTTGGTGTTATCAGGTCCACACTTGAACCAACTGAGCTATCCAGTTTCCTAGTGTGCCCTCCCCCTCACATAGAAAATCTCCTGATGTCTGCATGGGCGGACTGAGAAGTGGATTTGGGTGATGGCCTGTTGCTAGGGCACCCTCTGCATAGGCTTTAGAAACATACCCTCTCCCAGCCAATCCCCCGTCCCACTCTCTGCCATGGTCCATGCTCCTGGGGCACCACAGCTGCCACTTGGGCATGTCATCGAGCTATTGCCCCTTCAGTCCAGCCTATTGCTGGGTAGTTGCTGGGATACTTGCCTTGCCCCGGACACTGGCTACCCATGCTACGTCACTGCAGAGTAGTACTTCCTGCAAACTGGTAAGGGATCATCACAAGATGTGGCCTCTTTGGGGTGTTTGTTCCTTGAAGATCTGGAACTAAATAAGAGTGATACAGTGGTACCTCAGGTTACAAACACCTCGGGTTACAAACACTTTGGGTTACAGACTCCGCTAACCCAGAAATAGTACCTCGGGTTAAGAACTTTGCCCCAGGATGAGAACAGAAATCACGCGGTGGTGGTGTGGCAGCAGCAAGAGGCCCCATTAGCTAAAGTGGTACCTCAGGTTAAGAACAGTTTCAGGTTAAGAACGGACCTCCGGAATGAATTAAGTTCGTAACCAGAAGTACCACTGTACTTGGATTTTCCTTCAGTATGATGACACCCCCTGTGTTTCTTTAGAGACAGGCAAGGTGTTTTCGCTCATACCCACCAAAATCAGTTTTTGCCCAGGTAGGATCCCCAGCTCTTGAAATACGGTAATTCCCTTGGCAATATAGGGTAATTATTTTTTGGCCCAGAAGCGGAGCTTGGCAGGCTCAGAAAATGTTCTGCTGGCAAATGAAAACTGCCAGTGTATGAGTTTACAAATCTGTCACCGGGCATAGCACGACTGTACGATAGCAGGCCATGCAAGATCATAATCTGAACCAGGTTGCAACTCTGCCACATCCAGAAAATGGGATGGAATATACATGCAAAGCAGAAGATGCAGGAAATCAGCTCCGAGCCACAAATGTCTGCAGCTCAAGTCACACACATGCAGCACATATTGCCAAGGGAATTAAGCATCTAGAAAACATTTATCCATTTTACAGATGGGAACCACTAGGGCCATTGGTGACTCAACTGCGGGGAACTCAGAACACATAAAAAAAGACAAAATAATTTAAGAAAATGAGCCAAGCCACAGACTTCTACTGGTAAAGTCATGCATATGCAAAACATGGTGAATGAATTAAGCTCCTCCTCCAATGCTGGGGTGACTCTTCCTTGTCTGCTTGCCACACAGGATGTGGCGACCATTTTAAGTGTTGTAGTCTACACAATGTAGCCCCCACCAGGGTTCTGCATGCCACAATATGGTGTGTGTGTGTGTGTGTGTGTGTGTGTGTGTGTGTGTGAAAAATCCATCAAATGCATCAAAAATAAGAATTCTCTTGGGTAGAGATCTCCACCTTCAACTTGGGCTGCATCGGCATCGAGCATCTAAAACACTGCGATACCATTTTAAACAGGGACGTGGGTGGCGCTGTG